GCAATTTAGTGAGACGCTGTCTCAGAAGAGGAAGGGGCTGCGGATGCACCTTAGTGCTCCCTGGGTTCAGACTGTAAAAATAAGTAAAGTACTTAGCATCATGCCTAGCACAGCACCACAAGCTCAGGAGACAGCTTAGCCCTTCCCTTCCTCTCCTTCCTTTCTTCCTTTCTTTCATCTTTTTTTTTTTTTTTTTGGTGGTGCTAGAGATTGGAACCTTTGCCATGTTTTTGTTTTTGTTTTGAAATAGGCTCCCATGGGCCGGGGATGTAGCTCAGAGGTGCTGCACCTGCCTGGCAAGCACAAGGTTGGATAGAATTCAATTCCTGGTACCGCAAACAAAACAAAAAAAAAGAAAGAAAAGAGGCTCTCACTGAGTTGCTAAGTTGCTCAGCTAGGGCTCCAACTTGTGACCCTCCTGCCTTAGCCTTCTATAGTGGTGGGATTAGAGGCACCACCGTCCCTGGCTTCCTGTCCTTTTCTTGTCTTGTCTTTTTTCCTTTGGTACCAGGGATGGAATTTGGGACCTTGTGCTTGCAAGGCCGTTGGTGGCACCACTGAGCTACATCCCCGCCTCGAGTCTTGATGTTCATCCCTAGGCCTCTGTCCTGTCCCATCTCCTCTCCCGTTGCCCCTCCCTCTTTCTCAGAACTCAGTGTCAGAGAATCTCAGATCCTGGAGCCCACTCTCTTTGTAGTTTAGGTGAGGAAACTGGCCCAGAGGGAAAGGTGTACACAGCAAGTCAGGAAGAGTTGGCTTTGGAACTACAAACTCTTAACTTTTGGGTGTCTTCCTTAATGCTAAAATTCTTAGTTCTTCTCTGCCTCCCCATCCTTTTTTCTGTCTTTCTTTTTTTTTCTTTTTCTTATTTTGGTACCAGGGATCAAACTTGGGAGCTTGCACTCCGAGGCAGACGTGGTGCCACTGAGCTAAATCCCTGGCCCATTCTTTCTAAATGTTTTTTCTTTTCCCATTTCCTGTCCCCTTTCCCTTGATCCTAACGCTCTTCCTCCTGATACCCTCTTCTCTTCCTCCCTCCTGTACCTGGAATGTGTGCTCTGTGTTCCATCTTAACCTGTCCTGCAGGGAAGAGCCGTGGAGCCAGCTTCCCTTCCCCCTCCTGCTGCCCTTGCTCTCCCACCCCCTCTGGCCTCCTCTTCAGAGCCGCAGCCCCCACTGCATTGTGGCCTTGGCCTTAGCAGGCACCAGTGCTCATTCTGCCACTGCTTGGGTGCCACAGTTGAGCGGCCGCTGCCCCATTAGCCTTGCTCAGCACTATTCAGTGACTGCTGCCAACCTAGGGCTGGGGAATGGGGATCACGCCATGTTGTGTTTAGGATGCATGCAGCTTAGAGGTGGGAAGCTCTAAGAATTCTTCTTCAGGGGCCACACTGAAGGCTGAGTGTCCCTCTTTTTCCTCGTTTCTTTTCAGGGCGTCCCCCTGGACACCAGTAAACTGCCAACTGACCAGCGGCTGCCCCCATACCCATACGGTCCCCCAAGCCTGGTCCTCCCTGCCCAGCGCCCCGCCCCAAAGCCTCCACAGCAGCCAGGGCTGCCCTCTCAGGCCTGCTTAGTGCAGCCCCCAGGCAGGCAGCCTCATTACGGGACCCCATACCCCTCGGGGTCCAGTGGACACACGCAGCAGGCTTACCACCGGCCAGGGAGCGACTTCAGCCTGGGGAACGTGAGTACTGGTCAGCACTCTTGAGACGGGGAGGAGGGCAGGTCACTGCAAATCAGGGTCTGGGGAGGTCTTCCCTCCCTAGGTAATGGCACTGCCAGCTTGGGGCTCCTGTCTTCCTGTGTTTGACCCTCCGCCTGCCCCTTTGTTTCTGCTCAGCTTGCTCTTTGGTGACTCCCGCCTTGACCCGTTCTCTTCCTGGCATGCACATGCTCTGGCCCAGCAGGTACGGTGCCCATACTGACTTCGGGCCCCGTGCTCGCTTCTGTTGCTCTGCTTGCTGCCGCCTCCCTCTGTGCCTCCATTCTTGGGTGGATGAAGATGGCTGGGCAAAGGGGCAGCCTTGTCAGGCGCCTCTCTCAAGCTCTCTCTGTGTCCATAGCTGGAGCCGTTCAGCATGGAGACGCCAACGACCAGCCTGGTGCTGGATCCCCCCAGCTTTTCCGAAGGGCCTGGATTTTTAGGAGGTGAGGGGCCAGCAGGTAGCCCCCAGGATCCTGATGCCCTCAACCATCAGAACTTGGCCCATTGTTCCCACCACGGCTCAGGACCTAGTCTCATCCTCCCAGGTGAGGCCATGTGAGCTGGCCGAGCAGGAGGAGGCAGTGATTCCCCGCTGACCTGGAGGCGGAGGCGGCACTGGGAATGCGGTCCTCACCCTCTGCTTCTGCCCCCAGGAGACTCCGCCCCCGGTTTCTCCAAGGAGATTGCAGCAGCCCTGGCTGGAGTTCCTGGCTTTGAGGTGTCAGCAGCTGGGCTGGGGCTGGGGCTGGGGCTGGAAGATGAGCTGCACATGGAGCCACTGGGCCTGGAGGGGCTAAACATGCTGAGCGACCCCTGCGCCCTGCTGCCCGACCCTGCTGTGGAGGACTCCTTCCGCCATGACCGGCTGCAGTGAGGGCCCCGCCACCCCTCTCCTCGCCCACCCCTGATGTCCCTCCCTCCCTCCCCTGGCCAGTAGACTCCACTCTGCCCCCAGATTCTCTTTCTGGCTCAAATGAAGGATTCTGAGAATGAGAAAGGGCAAGGGGTTGTCCAGGTCCCTCCTGGATTCCGCCCCGCTTAAGTGTGGCCTGGGGGCGCTCAAGGAAGGCCTAAAGCACTTGTAACTTTGGAAAGTCTGTCTGGAGGTCAGAGCCTGTGGGAGAGCAGGGGTGGAGGGAACCCTGGAGGCAGGGCTTGTCCGGACACCTAGGGGTGGGCAGTGCCAGCCCCTCCTCACCACTCTTCCCCGTGCAATGGAGGACAGAGCCAGAGTGGATATTATTTTTTATTAAATATATTATATGTTAATAAAAAAATCCTGTCAAAGCCTTGGTGTAGTTGGCTGCTGTTTGGCATACAGCTGGAGATCCAGGGAGTTCCTGAGCCACGAGCCCCTTATCTGTCATTGGTTTTGCATCTCTCCAGCACTGCTGTGCTTTGTGCACGCCCTGCCAGCCTCAGAATTTATACCCCAAATTGGAGGTGGGGCCACACGAGGATGCAGCAGCTTCCATGACAGCAGGGTGTCACCTCATGTGCCCTCATGTTTGGGGTTCTGCTTAGCTAGCATGGGGGACAGGGACCCTGGCTGGCCAGACAAGTGACTCTTCCTCAGCCCCTGGCCTGGCTTCTGAGAAGGGATTTAACAGCTGAACTCCAGGAGTGTCTCTCCTGCCTCGCCTTTATGGTCCTTTGTAGCTCAGGGACCTAGGCAAGCCTCGGAGCCTGTGTTCCTGTCTTCTCCGGGAAGGCCTCCCACGCCCTTCCCTATGCATGAATCCACATCACCCTACTCCCCTTATCTGAGTTTTAATTCAGCAGATCCTGCTTGCCAACCATGTCCTGAAGAAGGGCCCTCATTCTTCGACAGTTCTCTACCCCTTTGGCTGACTGGGCCTCTGCTTTGTCCCCTTCTTCCTCAGTTTCCCCCCTCCGTGCTGTTCCACTCCCCGCAGTCCTGGCCTCTCCCCTTCCTCTTTCCAAAGCTCTTGTCATTTCCAGAAAAGAGAACCGAGAGCTCCTGGCTCTGGCTTGGAGGGAACGGAGTATACCCTAAACCTGAACATAGGGGAGCCACCGGGAACCCCCAGGTCCCGGCTTTTAGGCCTCCACTGCGGCCCAGCCTGCTGGGCACGTCTGACCGTGGGACCCCAGCGGATGGGCGCGCTCCTGACTGCTTGCGGGGCCGCCTGGGGTCGGTGTCGGGCGGCGCCTGGGCGATGGGAGCCGCTGGGTGCAGGGGGCCCTCCCAGCCGCCAGGGGTCGCGCTACAGGCAGCCGGGCGCCGGGCTGGCGCTAGCCAGGGTCACGGCCGGCGGGCCAGGGGCGACGGCGGCGGCGGCGCCCGCGGTCCGGAGGGTGGGGGCGGAGAAAGCGGGGCGCCGCGGGAGCGGACAGGCCCCACTCGCTGGCGGCAGCTCAGTCCCCGCGTGGCGTGGCGTAGCGTGGCGCAGCGCTGCGGGCCGCCCCCCAGCCCCGTGCCCCGCTTTTCTCCGCTCGCCGCCCGGGGCGCCATGCCCGGGGCCGGGTAGCCAGCCCGCCCTCGAGCCCCGCCGCGGGCCGGGGAGGCAGGCAGGTAGGGGCCGGGCCGGGCCGGGCCGGGCCGGGCCGGGGCGGGTCCGGGGCGGGGGCTACCCCAGCTGTGCCCTGCGCGTCGGTCCCGCCTCCTCCGCTGGGGAAGTGAGGGAGGCAGGGAGGGCGCCGGCCGCACCCCCGCGGTCACGCGCTGCCATCACGGCCTCGCCCTGCGCGCTTCCCGCCTTGCGCCGGCCGCGGAGGGGCCGCGCCTGCCCTCGAGGCCGCCCCACCGGTGGCCTTTACCCGCCGCTCAGGCCCGGGCCGCGCACTTGCCCCCAGCACGTGAGGGAGGGATCCGTGACCCGTGAATCCAGGGCTGGCCCCGCGCCTGACTTCACTTCCCAGACGCGGGGGCTAAATTTAGCGGGCCGGGCTCGGGTGTCCGGAGGCCGGGTTAGGCAGAGCTAGTCCCGAGCCCCCGCCCCCGGGAGCGCCAGGCGCAGCCTCCGCTCCCGCTCGGCCCTCGGCCCCGGCCCTGCCTGCCTGGTGGGATGCTGCGCTGGCCCCTTCGCCGCGCCACCCCTCCCCAGCCACCCCGCGCCGCCGCTCACACCCATAGGCTGACTTCTGCCGGGCTGTAGCTTCCCCTCACTGTTTCAGGAAGTCACCTCCCTTCCCCTCCGAAGCACCCCAGCCTCCCGGCCCCTGCTGCAGGCCACCCGCCAGGCTCTCCCAGCTTCTGCACCCTGGGGCGCCTCAGGACCCTTGGGGCTCCTACTTCCGGGGTCGGGCCATGGAGGCAGGTGAGAAAGTAGCGGAAAGACTTCGGGGCCTGATTCTGGCTCCGGCTCCGGCTCCGCCGCAGAAGGCATGGGATAGCTGGAGCTGCTGCCCACCGCCACTTGGGTTCTAACTGGAGATACCCAAGGATCCTGAAGTGGGAGGGTGGGCACTGGTTGTTTGGCCAGGCTGATGGAGTTAAGCTAGGAAACAAGAGACTTGAATCCAGTGACAGGAAACTGGAGCTTGGGTTTTGTGAGCTTTCCCAGAAACTCGTGGTATCCTTTTAAAAATTTAGGGATGGGCTTTTTAAAGAGGATTAACTGGATTGGGAGGTCCTTACAATGGCATAAACAGAACAGGAAAACCAGAGCCCTCAAAAAACACTAAGGGTAGAATGACGTCATGGCCAGGGTGGGTGACGTCACTACAGGCCATTACAGAACAGACTTGTCGCAGTGACAGCCTAACCTCGTGTGGGGCGGGGGAGGAGTGGGGGCCTTTAAAAGGGATCCAGGCAATAGGAAGCCGCAGCCCTGCGGTTGTGTGCGGTGGGGTGGCCTTTGGGTTCTTTGGGGAGGGTTCTGGTCCCTAAGTGGACGGACCTGCTCTCTTTAAGGAGCTGAAGTAGGCTGTGAGAGCTTGTGATGGCACAGGTGGGGGAGTTCAGGATTGGCTGACACTTATGCCCCTGTCCCTGGAAGGACCAGGAAGAGGGGGGCAGGGGGTGCAGCCCTCCAGTTGCCATGGCAACACCAGACTCCTTTGCTCCATCTCTCCCCTGCTTGACCGTTTTAGATGCTGTGAGTGAAGGGGGTGCCATGGCAGAGGAGCGGCCCCCCCGGCTGGTGGATTATTTCGTGGTAGCTGGGCTGGCGGGGAACAGAGCACCCATCCCCAAGGAGACACGGGTTCCTGAGCCCAGTGGGCCCCTGCGCCCTCCCCGGCCAGCTGACCCCATCACAGACGTGGCCGTCATCGCCAGGGCGCTGGGCGAGGAGGTGCCCCAGGGCTACACCTGCATCCAGACTTCTGCAGGGGGCCACGCCTTGGAACTGAGTGCCGGGCTCCTGGGGGGGAACCAGCCCGCCATCTGCTACCGCAGGGGGCACGACAAGCCACCCCTGGTTGAGCTGGGGTGTGTGCCCTGCCTGTGGTGGCACCAGGGGAAGTTGGGAGGGGTGAGCGGTGAGGTGGGGTGAGGGAAGGCACAAGAGTGGAAGCAGAGTGGGCTCTGGGCCTGAGGCTCTGTCCGCTCAAACGTTTGGGTTCATGTGCCAGTCCCACTGCCAGCCAGCCCTCTGGTCTCGGCTGGGTTATGGAGACCCTCTGAGGGCCTGTGTGCTCGTCGGCAGGATGGGCATACTTAGCCGGGCACGGTGGCGCATGCCTGTGCTCTCTGGGAGGCTGGGGCAGGAGGGTCACAAGTTTGAGCCCAGCCTGGCACCTTATTGAGACCCTCATCTCAAAAAACATTTTAACATAATTTACAAACAGAAACAAAAGGGCTGGGAATGTAACTCAGTGTGAAGGGCCCTGCATTCAACCGCCAGTGCCCCCCAGAAGGAGGGCGCGCACTCCTTGGGATTGAGAACTTGGGATGGGCTCCCGCAGCATCAGGCTGCGGGATGCTGTGGGATGACGGGACTGGCCCAGGTGTCGGCCCGGGGCGCTGGAGGACAGAGTGCAGCAGAGGTCGGCTCTGGGTCAGGGGCCGTGGGCGAGGCCCAGGGTGGGCCCAGGGGACCGGGCAGGCAGGTCTAACAGGGCTGGGGCCTCCTCTGCCCTGAGGCTTCATGTCTTTTTGCTGTCTGTGCCAAGGGTGTTTTATGAGGGGAAGGACCGACCCAAGCCTGGCTTCCACGTGCTCGACACGACACCCTACAGCCACTCGGCCAACCTGGCCCCTCCGGGCCCCGGGCATGCCCGCACCTACCTCACTTACCGGCGGGCAGCAGAGGGGGCGGGGCTGCACGTGTTGGGCATCACTGACCTCTGCCTGGTGCTGCCCAGCAAGGGAGAGGGCACGCCTCATACCTACTGCCGAGTGCCCCGCAACCTCAACTCCGGCATGGTGAGTGGGGCTGGGCTTCCGCGGGGTGGGGCACAGAGGGCAGCCTGGGAGGCCCTGTGCCCAGACCAGGCCAGAGGGTGACGGCCTGGGGACAGGGCCCAGTGGACTGCTTTGGGTGGGAGAGGAAGGGACCGGAGCCCAGCTAGCTGTGTGTCCCTGTCTCTCGCCGTCTCTGGCAGTGGGGTCCGGCAGTGCACCTGTGCTACAAGGTGGGCCTGGCCAAGGGCAACACGCTGGTGTATGAGGCCGGTGAGTGGCCCTCTCCCCGCATATCCCTCCGCGTCCCAGCTGAAGCCTTCCCTGGGGCCCCAGGCCTGATGGAGCCCTCTCTTGGGTCCTCACTGTGGGGTGCAGAGCTGCTGGGCCGCTACCCGGAGGAGGACAACGAGGCGTTCCCGCTCCCGGAATCGGTGCCCGTCTTCTGCCTGCCCATGGGGGCCACCATTGAGTGCTGGCCCGCCCAGACCAAGTACCCCGTGCCGGTCTTCTCTACCTTCGTGCTCACGGGCGCCGCTGGTGACAAGGTGGGCATGCGGGCTGTGGCTGGGCGTCTGGGCTCTGCAGGGCCCTGACCTCGCCTTTGGCCCCGCCAGGTGTACGGTGCCGCCCTGCAGTTCTACGAGGCGTTCCCCCGGGCCAGGCTGTCGGAGCGCCAGGCGCGGGCCCTGGGCCTGCTGAGTGCCGTGGAACGGGGCCGCGCCCTGGGGGGCCGCGTGGTGCGCAGCCGCCGCGCCCTGGCCGTGCTGTCTCGCTGGCCTGCGTTCCCTGCCTTCCGGGCCTTCCTCACCTTCCTCTACCGCTACTCCGTCTCCGGCCCCCACCGCCTGCCCTTGGAAGCGTGAGCGGGCGGGCTGTCCTACCACTGCGAAGGGGCTCTGGGGGCGAGGTGGGAGCTGGGGGACCAGGGCGCAGGTGGGGACGGAGCAGACACGGCAGTACGTGGTTGCATGGTCAGTACACCGGAAGAGGGTTGCTGAGCTGGGCCAGGCGGCGTACGTTGAGAATCCCAGCACTCTGGGAGGCTGAGGCAGGAGGGTCACGAGTTCCAGCCCGGCCTGGGCAACTTTGTGAAACCCTGCTTCAGAATAAAGCATAGGAAAAAGGTCTGTGAATGTAGCTGAAAGCAAAAGCCCTGGGTCCGGTCCCTAGTACTGGGCAAAAAAAAAAGTTATTGTCTGAGAGGTGAGGGGGCCTGAAATGGAGCCTGTACTTGCTAGTTGGGTGCTGGAAGGGCTGTGTATGCCTGGAGAGGACCTGCCTTCTGATTTGCACAATTTCTTTCTTTTTTTTTTTTTTTGAGACAGTCTTGCTGTGTAGTTCAGTTCAGGCTGGTCTTGGACTTGTAGCCCAGGCTAGCCTCAAAGTGGCAGTGATCCTCCTGCCTCAGCCTCCCGAGTACTAGGATGACAGGTGTGCGCCGCCACGCCCAGCTGCCTAAGTGCCGTGGTGGCTGACGCAGACCTGGAAGCGTGGCTCGGGAAGAGTAAGGCCCTTGAAGACGAGCGATGGGACGGTGAAGGGGCTGGGTGTCTGCTCACCACCTTCTCTCCCCCAGGCACATCTCGCACTTCATTCACAATGTGCCGTTCCCCTCCCCGCAGAGACCCCGCGTCCTGGTGCAGGTGACTGAACTGGGCGCTGGCGGGTGGGAGCCGGCAGGGCTGCCGTCCATGTCCTGACCTGTGGCTCCTCTGCCCTCCCAGATGTCTCCCTATGACAACCTGCTCCTCTGCCAGCCTGTGTCCTCGCCCCTGCCCCTCAGGTATGTGGGGGGGGGGGCTGGTCGGGCGGGGCAGGTGGGTGCCGCGCCCCGAGAGGCCCCCCAGGCCCCACCCGGCTCTGCCCTTGGCTCCAGTGGTGCCAGCTTCCTGCAGCTGCTGCAGAGCCTGGGCCCCGAGCTGTCTGTTGCGCTGCTGCTGGCCGTGCTCACAGAGCACAAACTGCTGGTCCATTCGCTGCGGCCAGACCTGCTAACCAGCGTCTGCGAGGCCCTTGTGTCGGTGAGCCTGCCGCGGAATGCTGCGCTTCCGGTGCCTGGGCTCCTCCCTGGGGAAGGCAGGGACGGGGTCCCCTGCCGTCATCCCACCCCTGCTCAGCGCTTCCTGTCCCGCCCCCCCCCCCCCCCCCCGCCTGTGCTCCAGATGATCTTCCCACTGCACTGGCAGTGCCCCTACATCCCGCTGTGCCCCCTGGTGCTGGCGGACGTGCTGAGTGCCCCGGTGCCCTTCATCGTGGGCATCCACTCCAGCTACTTCGATCTGCACGACCCGCCCGCCGACGTCATCTGCGTGGACCTCGACACCAACACGCTGTTCCAGTAAGAGCTGCCCGGGTGTGGAGCGGGGCCGCGGCGGCGCGCAAGGGCTGACCTGCGGCTGTCGGAAGGAGCATCAGGCGGAAGGCCGGAGAGGCACGCGAGGAGCCCGTGGTCCCGTTCCTGCGCTTGTCTTTCAGGACAGAGGAAAAGAAGCCCCTGTCCCCTCGGACCCTGCCCCGCAGACCCTACAAGGTCCTGCTGGCCACACTGACAAACCTGTACCAGCAGCTGGACCAGAGTGAGAGGCCGGGGAGCTGGGGGCTGGGGGTGCGGCTGTTACTCAGCCCTGCACATGGGAGCCCTTGGGAGGCAGAGGAGTGAGGACGGGTGCCGGCCGGCGAGGGTGTCAGAGTCCTGGTGCAGCGGGAGACGGGCAGAGGCACGGCTAAGCGCCCGGGTCCGGCTGTTGGGAGGTTCAGAGCTGCTGCCCAGGGTGATTTCTTAGCGCTGTGGGCGCACGGCCCGGGCGGGGCCAGAGCCAGGGACGGAGACCAGCGTGAGGGCCCTGCGGGCTGTGCTGCGGCCTGGCCCTGACCCTGGGCGCCCTGGGCCCCAGCTTACACGGGCCCCGAGGAGGAGGCATCGCTGGAGTTCCTGCTGACAGACTACGAGGCCGTGTGCGGCCGCCGGGCCCGCCTGCAGCGGGAGGTGCAGGGAGCCTTCCTGCGCTTCATGGCTTGTCTGCTCAAGGGCTACCGGGACTTCCTGCGCCCGCTCACCCGGGCGCCCTCCGAGGGCGTGCGTGACGTGGACAACCTCTTCCACCTCCAGGGTAAGGAGGGCTGGCGGAGGCGCCAGCACTGGGAGCCGCTTGGCTGCGTCCTCCCTCAGTCGAGGGGCTCTGCTGGGTTCTGCGTCTGAGTCTGAGCCGCAGGATGTGGCCCTGCTGTCTGGGAGCCTGGGCGTGGGGTGCAGAGCGGCCCGCCGGGCCTAGCTCTGTTGGGGGAGCTGTCCTTGGGGAAGCCCTGGACTGCATGGTGCGTGCAGACAGCTGCAGGGAGGGGCTCCGAGGGGCTGGGCGCTGGCTGCCCCCCCAGCCGGCCGTGGCCTGGGGGTGTTTGTGCGAGAGGGGCCCAGAAACGGCGGTTGTGGCGGCCGCGGGTGCTGAGCGGGCGGGGAAGGGAGGCTGTGCAGAGCCTGCACCCGCCCCTCCCCGACCATCCGGGTCTTGCAGGCTTCCTCAAGTCCCGGGAACGCTCCACCCACAAGCTGTACTCCCAGCTGCTGCGCACGCAGATGTTCTCCCAGTTCATCGAGGAGTGCTCCTTTGGCTCTGCGCGGCATGCTGCCTTGGAGTTCTTTGACTCCTGTGTGGACAAGGTGTCAGGCGTTGTCCCTTCTCTGTGCCCAGAGCCCCCCCCCCCCCCCGGGTCTCTGCTGACCCCGGGCCACTGGGACCCAGCTCTGCATCCAGCTGGGACAGGCCGGCGCCCAGTCATGTGCAGCACAGACATACCGGGCCTCAAGTCCCTGCTGTGCAGTGCCCACTCCTGGCTCCGCCTCCCTCGGATGTGCCTTTGTTGGGGGCCCCATCTCCTGGACGCCCTGGTGCACCCTCACTCTCGCCATCCTGTCCAGGTCCACCCCGAGCAGGAGAAGCCTGAGCCCACACCCCTCGTGGAGCTGGAAGAGCTGTCGGGCAGTGAGCTCACGGTCTTCATCACACCCCCAGAGGAGCCCCCGGTACCCGAAGGCAGTGAAGCTGCTCCCCAGTACTGGTGAGAGTCTCGCCCCTCATGGGTCCCCAGGCCCACGAACTTGTCACCGTCCGGTTGCTTGCTTGGCCACGTGCGGACAGCCCATGTGCTCTCTCCACGCCTGCAGCTACGATGGGTTCCCAGAGCTTCGGGCTGAGCTGTTTGAGTCTCCTAAAGAGCAAGCGGGGCCCCTGCCTGTGCCAGGGCCGACCCACAGTGCCCCCAGCAGTCCTGCCCCTCGCCGAACCAAACAGGTAAGCACCAGGTGGGCCCTGCAGGGCAACTTGGCTCAGGCTGAGGGCTGCTGCTTCCGTTGCTTTGTCTGCAAAAGGAGGGTAATCATGATTCTCACCCCTTAAAGGTGTTTGGACATAAAAAGCACAGGAACACGGGCTGTTGTTACCATTGTCAGAGTCGTCCTGTCTTTGTCTCCTGAGCACCTGGGGCTGCTGCAGGGCTGCAGCCTGTGAGGCCCTCACCCCGGCTGCTTCAGAGCACAGGCCCGCACCAGGGGAGCTGCTGCCTCTCCACATGCCTCCTTCTCTTCTTTGTCTTTTTTCTCCTTCCTTCTTTTTTCTTCCTCCCTTCCTTTTCTTTGTGTACTAGGAATTAAACCGAGGTCCTTTGCACTGAGGTGTATTCTTAGTCCTGTTTATTTTTTTATTTTGAGACAGTCTCACTAGGTTTCTAAATTGCCCAGGCTGGACTCAATCTTAGGTCCTCCTGCTTCAGCTCCCCCGACTGCTGGGATGACGGGTATGTGCCGCCGTGCCCGGCTTCCCGGCTGTGTGAGGCCTGCCCAGCCCTGTTCTCACCCTGCTGCGTCCCCATCTACCCAGGAGATGAAGGTTGCACAGCGGATGGCTCAGAAGTCAGCGACAGTGCCGGAGCTGTGGGCCCGGTGCCTGCTGGGGCACTGCTACGGACTGTGGTTCCTGTGTCTCCCTGCCTACGTGCGCGTGGCGCCCTCAAGGGTGCGGGCGCTGCACACAGCCTACCATGTGCTGCGCGAGATGGAGAGCCGCAAGGTGGTCCTTCCGGATGAGGTAGGGCCGCACCCTGTGTGGCGCTGCCCACAGTGCTCCCGCGAGGCTGTGAGGCGCCTCAGCCGGAGAGGGGAACTTGCTGCGGCCCGGGAGCCTGCGTGCAGCGTGCTCGGGCCAGCAGGGCCTCCGCAGGATGGACCCCCGGGGTGGCCTGGGAGGCTGCGGAGGCCCTGCTGAGGGTCTCGCTGGGGGTCTGCATCTCCTCGCGTCCCCTGGCCCAGGTGTGCTACCGGGTGCTGATGCAGCTGTGCTCACACTACGGGCAGCCTGTGCTCTCGGTACGGGTCATGCTGGAGATGCGGCGGGCGGGCATCGTGCCCAACACCATCACCTATGGCTACTACAACAAGGTACCCAGCTGGCAGGCTGTGCTGCAGCCACCGTGCTCTTCGGGGGCCTCAGCACCCACTTTTGTTTTTTTTGTTGTCCTGGGGATCGAACTCGGGACCTCACACTTGCATGGCAGGGAGCGCCCACAGTTTCAGTTACTGCTTTTTTGTAGTACTGGGGGTTGAGCCCAGGGCCTTCACACTAGCTTTTTTTTTTTTTTTTTTGGTACCGGTAATCAAACTCAGGCACTCGTGCTTGTGCTTGCCAGGCAGATGCTGCACTGCTGAGCTGTGTTTCCGGCATGTTTGCCATCCCATCCCTTTTTTTATGTTTTCTTTTTGATGCAGGACTTCACAAAGTTATTAAACTACCTGTGCTGGGTTTGAACTTGCAGTCTTCCTGCCCAGCCTCCCACAGTGCTGGGATTCCGGGCATGCGCTACTGCACCTGGCTGACAGATGGGTTTTTTTCATCCTTGGCTACTTTCTCACAACGGCCTTGACTAGAGCTGAGAGTGTTAGTCAGAGTGGCAGGCACTGCTCCAAACACACTGCATGTGGTAGATTGTTTCACCCCCACAATGGCCTGTGGAGTAGAAAGATCCGCTCTATCTTACAGATGAGGTTGCAGAGAATTTGTGACTTGCCAAAGGTTCTACTGTGAGCAAGTTAGGTAGAGCATGAGCAAAGACAAATCTGTGTTACCTGAGTTCAGCTTCTGTTTGTTTAGCAAGGGTGTATATGTAGTCCAGGCTGGTTTCAGACTCATGGGATCCTCCTGCTTCAGGCTCCTACGTGCTGGGATTACAGGCATGCGCCACCACACCCAGCTTTGTTCTCTGCCCTCCAATTAGTACTGGACACCAGAGGCTCTACCACTGAGCTACATCTCCAGCTCTTGTTTATTTTCATTTTTTCACTTTGAGACAGGGTCTTGCTAAGTTGACAGGCAGGATCTGAACTTATGGTCTTCCTGCCTCAGCTTCCCAAGTCCGGGATGCCACCATGCCTAAGATGAGGGAATTTAATGGCCAAAATCTGAGATCCTTTTTACAAAGCCCTATAGTTTATTTTTATTTTTCTATTTTTAATTTTTATTATTTTTTAAGCCCTATAGGTTAGAAGTTAATAGAGTTTGGATACAGACTTTCTATAGGGCCCTGGCTTCCTGTAGGTGCTCAGGGGCAGCTGCTGGCATCTGTTGCTTCTTCCCTCCTGGCTGACCCATGGCCAGGCAGGCTGCTGGAGGGAGGTGGCTCCTGGACTCTGGGCCCGGAGCAGGGTCTCCGGTTGGGGCGGGTGTGGCAGTAGCCACCCTGATGGGCGCTGTGTCTGGCAGGCTGTGTTGGAAAGCAAGTGGCCGTCAGGCACACCAGGTGGACGCCTGCGCTGGGCCCAGCTCCGCAACGTGGTCCTGGGGGCTGCTCAGTTCCGCCAGCCCTTGAGAGATCGGCAACGGCAGCAGCAGCAGCAACAGCAGGCAGCAGCTCCCCAGGAGCCAAGCCTCTCCCAGACAGGTGGGGAGGACTGGACCAGCCAGCTTGTTGGCATGGGGTTTCCGGGGGTGGGTGAGGGTCCAGGAGGAGCCCGCTTCGGAGGAGGTGAGCTCCGCTGACACCTCTGCACCCCCTCCCTGTCCCCAGAGTCCCATCCGCAGCGCCCGCTCCAGCGCCAGACCACGTGGGCCGGGCGGAGTCTGCGGGACCCAGCCTCCCCCACTGGGCGCCTGGTGAAGAGCGGCAGCCTCGGCAGTGCCCGAGGGGCACAGCCCACAGTGGAGGCTGGCGTGGCCCACAGTGAGTTGCCCTTGTCTGGCCCGCCCTGCTCTCGCTATAGCTCTCCTCACCACCTGCCCCCCAGGGGGCAGGACCAGGGCCAGGGTGGACAGTGGCATTGGGTGGTGGGGCCTGTGGCTCTCTGGGGACCTGGCCCAGAACATCATGGCCTGGAGGGGCTGTGGAGCCAGAGTCCAAGTAGCTAGGAATTGTGTCTGCTCGGGAGCGGCAGCTGGAAGAGGGCTGGGCTCCACCGTGCCGCACTCTCTGGTTCTCTTGTCCTGCAGTGATAGAGGCCTTGGGCATCCTGGAACCCCGGGGGTCACCTGTGCCCTGGCATGATGGGAGCCTTTCAGACCTGAGCTTGACGGGGGAGGAGCCGTCAGCCCGAGGCAGCCCGGGGGGCTCGGTCTCGGCCCTGAGCACCCAGTCCGCGGAAGCCCTGGAAGGCCTAAGTGGGTGCGGGCCCAAGGCTGGCAGAAGCCAGGACGAGGTGGGCACCCCCCGACGAGGCCTGGGTGCCCGCCTGCAGCAGCTGCTCACGCCTTCCCGCCGGTCCCCTACCTCACACGTGCCCCTGGCTGAGCTGCCCTCCAACCTGCTTGCCCCAGCTCGCTGCAGCCCCATGGACAGCCTGCTGCGGCCCCGGGAGCGCCCCGGATCCACTGCCTCTGAGGTACCCGCAAGGGAGGTCCAGGAGCCCTGGCGGGCTGCTAACTAGGGGGCTGCCCAGGATGGGGCCCGAGGGACCCTGGGTGCAGAGGGCGTGGGGCTGCTGACCAAGCTTTCCGACCTTGCGGCAGAGCTCGGCCTCCCTGGGCAGTGAGTGGGACCTCTCAGAGCCCTCTGTCAGCAGCCTGAGCCTCCACCGCTCCTCAGAGCACCTCAGCGACACGCCTGGACCCTCGCAGCCTCCCTCCCTGGAGGTGAGGATTCAGGGGAATGGCTGTGGGGGAGGCCTGGCCGGGCGATGGAGAGGCCCGGCAGGACCCACCTGCTGTGTCTCTGTGCTGCAGATTCTGCTGTCCAGCTGCTCCCTGTGCCATGCCTGTGACTCCCTGGTGTATGACGAAGAGATCATGGCTGGCTGGGCCCCTGACGACTCCAACCTCAACACGACATGCCCCTTCTGCGCCTGCCCCTTTGTGCCTCTGCTCAGTGTCCAGACCCTTGACTCCCGACCCAGGTGCCCTGAGCAGGGCGCTGCTGTGGCTGGGGCAGGGAGGTGGTGGTCCACGAGCTGAGCCCTCTCTGTCCCCCGACAGTGCCCCCAGCCCCAAGCCTGCCCTGACTGGTGCCGGTGGCAACAGAGATGCTCCTGTCCCTGGGGGGCCTGGCCCTGTGCTCAGTGACCGCAGGCTGTGCCTTGCCCTGGATGAGCCCCAACTCTGCAACGGGCACATGGGGGTAAGGGCTGGGTCCAGGGGGCTCGAGATGGGAGTAGGTGGCCCTTTGAGGGGAGCTGTGGGGGCCAAGAGGAGGGCGTTGAGGACAAGGGGCGGGCGTTGAGGGCAAGGGGCATCCCAGAGGGTGTTGGGCCGACAGCTGAGGAGGGCATGCTCCGAAGATGGCCGGGGCCCTTGCCCCACCTGCTGTGTGCCTCACAGAGGGCCCCCCGGCGGGTCGAGAGTGGGGCATGGGCATACCTGAGCCCCCTGGTGCTGCGGAAGGAGCTGGAGTCGCTGGTAGAAAACGAGGGCAGTGAGGTGCTGGCCTTGCCTGAGCTGCCTGCTGCGCACCCCATCATCTTCTGGAACCTTCTGTGGTATTTCCAACGGCTGCGCCTGCCTAGCATTCTGCCAGGCCTGGTGCTGGCCTCCCGTGATGGGCCCCCCCCGCCCCAGGTCAGTGTCCCCGTGTGGTCCCTGCCTCCTCCTCTCACTCCGTTCTTGGTGGTTAGTCCTGGGTGCCCCTGGTAGTGTAGAAGGAGCCCTGGCTGTGGAGGCTGATGTCCTGGTGTCCCTCTGGTTCTTTTTTTTTTTTTTTGGTACCGGGGATTGAACTTGGGTCCTTGTGCTTGCGCAGCAGGTGGCAGCACCACTGAGCTAAATCCCCGGCCCTCCCCCTCTGGTTCTTGAACTCCGACACTTGGAACCTCAGTTCTGTCATCTGTAAAATGCCATAAGCACTGACTTCACAGGGCAGCAGCACTGACGCCATGTGTAGTGCCTGGTGCCTAGAGAATGCTGCATGAATGTTTGTTCATCCCACCAGTTATTCACTGAGCATCTTTTGGGTTCCAGGCAGCTTGCAGGCTCTGGAGGGGTAGCAGATTAGACAACCAAGTCCTTGCTGTTACGAGCTCACGTTCCTCTTCCGTTTCTCCCATGCTGTGTCCTGCAATGTCCCTCTGTGTCTTTGGTTGTCACTCTCCACTTCTTGTGTGCTGCCCCCCACTCTGTGAGCCTGTCTCCCCTCTGCTCCTGCAGGCCCCCTCTCCTTGGCTCGCCCCTGACCCCACCTCTGTGCAGGTGCGGCTGCTGTGGGATATTCTGACTCCAGACCCCAACAGCTGCCCACCCCTGTATGTGCTCTGGAGGATCCACAGTGAGTCCAGTGTTTGGCCTAAAGCCGGGAGGGCTGGGCCCACGCCTGGAGGGTTGGGGACGCTGGTGACCATCCCTCCTTCCCAGGCCAGATCCCACAGCGCATGGTCTGGCCGGGCCCGGTCCCCACGTGTCTCAGCTTGGCGCTGTTGGAGTCAGTGCTGCGCCATGTCGGACTCAACGAGGTGCACAAGGCTGTGGGGCTCCTCCTGGAAACTCTGGGGCCCCCTCCTTCTGGCCTGCACCTGCAAAGGTATGACGCTGCCATCTGGGTGCTCCCTGAGCTCTCCTGGCTGAGATCTCTTCTCTCACTCGCCCTTCTGACTCTGCAGGGGCATCTACCGTGAGATCTTGTTCCTGATGTTGGCCGCTCTGGGCAAGGACCACGTGGACATAGGTGAGAAGCAGCTGGGCTGGTGAGCTTAGGGACTCAGGGCCATGTGTGAGGCGGGGTCCTAATGCATTGGCTTCCACTCTCTCCCCTAGTGGCCTTCGACAAGAAGTACAAGTCTGCCTTTAACAAGCTGGCCGGCAGCATGGGCAAGGAGGAGCTGAGGCAGCGGCGGGCACAGATGCCCACTCCCAAGGCCATTGACTGCCGGAAATGTTTCGGAGCGCCTCTGCAGTGCTAGGGACCCTTCAGCTGAGGAGGAAGGATTCTAGAGAGAGCTGCATTTCTTGTCCCCTTCACGGAAGAGTGCGGAACAGGCTGGGAGCCCTGTTCAGCCACAGGCTCCAAGCATGGGCAGCAGGAAGGAGGACGCACTCTTACCAAAGGTCGCAATTCTCCATCTCCAGCCTGCCCAGTTGGTTCATGCTGATGGCGGGGGAGCCCTGGGGGAGCTGGTGCAGCTCCACTCCTCCCTGTCCTACTCCAGGAACTGCTCTCCAGGGCACCCACAGATCTGCACTGCCGTGGTCATTTGAGAAGTTTTTGTTTTAAAAAACAACTGGAAAGATACAGAGCTGCTGAGCCTTCTCCCTGGATGTGAGCGAGGGGTCTCGGCCCCGTCCCCACCAGTGAGGGCCCTCATCCCTGCATTGCTGAAGGAGCCCAGGCTCTCCACGCCTTTCTGAGTGCTTGTATTTTATTTTAAATTATTTATTATAGAGCCACAGCCCCCTTGCTTCTGAGAGAGGAAGCAAGGGAAGCAGGCATCATGGCTTGTAGCTCCCTGGAAGCTGGGCAGGGAGAGCTGGAGGGCGGGAGCCCCTGGGAAGAACCGGTGCCTCCCCGGCCTTCCTGCGCCTCTCGGGGCACCTCACCCACCAGGGCCCTGGCCAGTGCAATAAGGGTCGTCCCTGTGAAGTTCTGTTGGATGTAAATACAGTAAAGTTGCTTCTGTCTTTTTCCTCCTGCCTCTTGTTCCTTGGCCCTGGGGCAGCATCGAGGGGAGGGTGCTCACTGTGTCCTGCCTGCACACCCTCTGTCATCCATCCTCCCATCCTTTGTGGCCTCAGGAACACTCTGCTCTTCCCAGTCATGTCAGGTTCTAGCCCCTTGGGCATGGGGTTCTTGGGGCAGCAGAGGGTGAATTTGGTACTGTGGCAGTGCCAGTCTGTGGGGCACTTCCAGTCCTCCCACACAATCACCCCTTGTCCCACATCTGTACCCCATACAAAGGCTCCATTCTCTGGGGGTGCTGAGCTCATCTTTGCCTTACTTCCTCTCCCTGGGTGTCCCCCCAATTCTCCAGCACCTCCGCAGAGATGACACCTGTCTCCCCAGTAGCTGATGTTGGTGGCCTTCACATTTCTGGGGCCTGGCCCACCCCCTCCCTCCTCCGCCATAGCTGCACACCTTAGGGCTAACACCAAGGGGAGGGCAGGAGCGAGAGGCTTGCTGCGCGTGCACATCGGGAGCGGGCATCTCTTCTGCCATCCCTTTGGCCCACTTGAAGTTCTCCTTTGCCCCCATATAATGAAATAAACACAGGAAACAACTGGCAGAGCCGCAAAACCAATTACTGAGGGGAATTAGCTTACTAAATAGACACCTTGGGGAAGGAGGAGGGGGTATCAAGGAAGAGGCTCGCGGGAAGGTTTAGTGCCAATTCTCAGGGGTGATTAATGGATGAAGAGAAAGGTACTACTTCTGAATGCTGAGACCTTCAAGCCAAAAGGCCCTTCTGTCTGGATGTAAGCATGGTACAGTGCTTTTCCAGAGTCCGAAAGGAGCTAGCTGCAAAGGAAGAAGCTGTGGACCAGGGAATGCTATTTCTCTGCCTTGCTGGGACAGGCCTCTTAAGGGGTGACCCTCGTCACCCAGTTTCTGGTCAGACTCACCAGACTCCACCTTCCTATTTCATCCCAAGCAGGTCCCTTCCTCCCTCTCCTCTCTTCTTTTCCTTCTTTTCTTCCTTTCTCTTCTTTCCCTTCCTTTTTCCTTCCCCTAATTTCTTTCTCTTCCTTTCCCTCTTTCTTTCGTCCTTCTTTCCCTTCCTTCTCTTTTCTTTCCCTTCCTTTCCCTCTTTCTCTTTTTTCTTTCTTCTGTTTTTGTTTTTTTCTTTTGGTACCGGGGATCAAATTCAGGACCTTGCATTTTTGAGGCAAGCGTAGCACCACTGAGCTAAATCCCTGGTCCCTTTTGTTTTTTGTTTTTTGAAACAAGGTCTTACTATATAGTTCAGGCTGGCCTTGAATTCACTATGTAACCCAGGCTGCCCTCAAACTCAAGGTGATCCTCCTGAGTGCTGGGATTACAAGCATGTGCCACCACACCCAGCTTGCCTGCCTCAAAATAAAACAATACCAAACTAAAAAGGGTGCTGGAGATGTAGCTCAGTAAGAAGACCCTGGGTTCAATCTCAAGTATCACAAAGAAAAAAAATATCAGAGCTGGGCGTGGTGGTGCAAGCCTGTAATCTCAGCACTCAGGGGTTGAGGGAGGAGGACTGCCAAGAGTTCAAGGCCAGCCTGGGCTATGTAGTGAGTTCAGGACTAGCTTGAACTACAAAGGGACACCCTGCCTCCAAAAAAAAAATCTGGAAATTCCAATAGCAAAGTACACAGCATGACAGCTGATGCCTGTCCGGTGGCCAAGGGAGGGTGTGAGGGGTGGACAGGCCCAACACCCCAGCTTAATTTATTTTTACAATAAGGTGTCCAGACTGAATTGTAACAAATATGAGTTCAGTTGTTTCTCTGTGGTTACTAATTTGAAGATGGCAGACAAGTTATTAACAGTTGCGGCTCAGTTTTCCTCCTAAGTGGGGGTCATATAAAGACTGTACAAACAATCCATCTGAAATGCTAAGCACATACAATGCATACATGCTTCTGAAAGCAGGCAGACTGGGCCTGCGCAGGCAGAGTTGTTGCGTGCTCACTGCCCTCTTGCCCTCTATTGTCTCCTCTGCCCGTGGCCACACCATGTGGCCCTCGCCTGTCTTCCCGAGAGTTGGGGTGTTCCTGACGAAAGCCCCTCTTGCAGGCCGCAGTTTGATTTCGCTGGAAGGCACTGTCTCAGGTCTTGCAGTATCTTCTTCAGGCTGGTGGTATCTTCCACTACTATTTCTCATGTTTCCTCAAAGCCCTAAGGATGGCTTTCAGCCGGCAGATGATTTGCTTGGGCTGATGATGGACAAAGCAGTAGTTTAGGAAAAGAAGGATGTGCGCTCTGTGTTTGGCAGCTTCGTCTCATCACTGCTATCTCCCCAGTACATGAACAGTGCCTGATAACACAAGAGGTGCAGGCTGGGAGTGGTAGTGCCTTCTGTAATCCCAGCGCATGGGAGGCTGAGGCAGGAGGATTGCTGCAAGTGAGACCAGGCTGGACTATATACGTAGTGAGACCCTGTCACAAAAAAAAACACAGAATACTTATAAGAGGTGCTTTACCATGTATATTCAATAGCTGAAAAGCCCAGTGCAGCGGTGGTACACACCAGTAATTATAGCACTCTGAGAGTCTGAGGCAGGAGGACCAAAAGTTTGAGCCCAGCCTGGGCAATTTAATGACTTAGTGAGATCTTGTCTCAAAATAAAAAATAAAAACAGGGCTGGGGACATAGCTCAATGAGAAGGCCCTTGGTTCAATTTCCAGTTCTGGGGGAGGAGGGAAAGGCCTGAAAAAGAGTACTGACATGATGGAGTTAGTAGAGAAATAATTTTCAATGTGGTACAAAATAAGTACTATGTGTAGAATACTAAAATAAGCTAAATTTACAGCTAAGAGGGTGAAATTATTGGAAAAGCAAGGAAAATTTTAATAAGTTATTATTTATTAGGTTTATTAAGTGCTTACTTCCCTGAACATTTAAAATATACTAGGGCTGAGGATGTTTAGCTCAATGGTAGAGTGCTTGTCTAGGATGTGGAAGGGCCTGGGCTTGATCCACAGCAGTGCAAAAAAGCAATAAGATATGTTTTATAATCCTCATGATTATCCTATGAAGTGGGTACTCTTTTTTAACATTCCCATCAGGGGTTGAAGGGAGGGGAGGGGAATGAGAAGAAAAGAAGCAGCAGCATTATCATGTAAAGATACAAATTCCCTATGATGAATGTTATCATTATGTATATCTAAAATGTGCCAATAAAATAAACGCAAAAAAAATTAAAAAATAGCCCATTTTACAGATGGGGAAACTAGGTCATAGAAAACAAAGATTAATAATTTGTACCCAAATCACACAACTCATAAGAAATAGAGCCAAAGCTGGGGATTTAGCTCAGTGGTTCCACTGCCTGCCTTGCAAGCGTAAGGACCAGAGTTCGATCCTCGATACAAAACAAAGAAAAAAGAAAGAAAAGAAATAGAGCCAAAGCTCAGTATCATAATGCACACTTACAATCCCCACACCGGGGACTAAGCCAGGAGTTCAAATCCTGCCCGGGCAATTTAGGGAGACCCTGTCTCAAAATAAGAAAATAGAAAGGGCTGAAGATGTAGCTCAGTTCTAGAGAGCCCTGGGTTTTATGCCCAATACCACAAAACAAGCAAACAAACAAACAGCCAAGATCCAAACTCAAGCACTTAACTCCAGAGACCTCGTTCTTTACCTGGCCTCTGTACTAGCATAGAAATTATCTGTTGGATTTATTTATTTTTGTATTGGATTTGAACCCAGGGACTTTGCATTGAGCTACACCACTACCCCTCCCCCTTTTTTATTTGTGAAGTATCTAAGTCACTATGTTGTCCAGGCTGGGTTTATACTTGCAATCTTACTACCTCAACCTCCCAGTGTGTTGAGATTACAGGTGTGTGCCACCAAGCCCAGTTTGAGACTAGGTTTTTTTCATCCATTTAAAAGAATTAGGATATGCCTTTGTGAGTGTGTGTCTGTTCAGGGCATACATCTTTTTCATTTGTTGTTTTTCTACCTAAATCTTCTTGTATGTGTGTGGGAGGGCTTTTTTTGTGTGTTCATGTCTTCCATTACCCGCACAGCATGACTTCTAAATCATTAGAAAATACTGTGTGTTCTAGTGCTTCTGAAACCAGTTACATATTTCTAGGTTCAAACCACTGCTTGATTACTAGCTGTCTGACCTTGGTGGTAAGTGACCTAACCTCTCTGAGCCTGTTTTCTCTCTTTTTTCAGACAGGATCTCGATTTGTAGTCCAGGCTGGCCTTGAACTCACTGTGTAACCCAGGTTGGCCTCAAACTCACAGGGATCCTTCTGCCTCAGGCTCCCGAGTGCTGGGACCACAGGAGTGTGCCACCACCCCCGGCCTGAGCATGTTTGCCCTCACACCTGGGTTCAGATGTCAGCTCTGCCGCTTAACGTGCGTTGCTCTGAAAAAGTCATTTGTTCTGTACCTCATTTTCCTTATCCGTAAAAGAGGAGTTAACAGTAACTGTCTCCCAGATTTATGAGGAATAAACACGATAATCGTGTCTGGCCCCACAGTTCCTTCCCCAAAATGTTGTTTTCAGTGTTCCCTCAACAAACTGATCCTGTGATAGTTGGTTCCTATCCTTAGGGTGCTCAAGCGCTGCAGACTCGAGTTCAGGCGGGGCCCGGTGCCGTGAGGAAGGAGCGAGGCCAGCAGAAGGTGGCTGTGAACCCAGCCAGACGAGGGGACCCGTGAGAAGGCGCTGCGCTGGCCCCGCACATCGCCAATTCTCCCCAGATTTCGCTAGCTGCCTTTTCTTCTGCTCGCGGGGCTCAGCCAAGGCAGGACCAAGCAGAGGGGGACGGACACCAGGAAGCAGAGGGCCTTCGGGAGACCGAGGCAGGCCACGCCCCAGGTGCAGAGCAAGGCCCAAGCGCCTAAAGCTACTTCTATCGTGAAATTCCTGGACCCTGTCGCGATGAAACACCGCCCACCGCAGAGCACACTGCCGTTCGACAGCCTCCATCTTTAGAAGTGAAAGATCGAAAGATGCCCAAAGGGGAATCCCGGTTTTGGGAGCCTGGGGTACGGCGGCTGCCTGGGGACCAAAACGTCTCTAAGGTAAAGTTGCAGCCTGAAGCGATTTTTTGACCCCCGACACTTAATGGGTTGTCGAAGACCCGGATGTGTCTGGGACTGGCTGAGGTACCCATTAGCGCGCCCCCGCTAGACCATCCCCCTCCTCCGTTTAGCACTGGGTCTTCAATGCGCCAATCGTCTCTTCTCCTACCACTCACTGTTCAAGGGTGGGGCGAAGCCTCCGCATTTCGGCTTCTATTGGTAGGTCCACGAAGAGGAGGGCGGGGTGGCCGGCTCAGGTTGCCCAATGGGCGTCGTGGCGTGTGAGTAAGGCGGAGCCGAGGCGCTTGGCAGCTGCCCAATCAGCGTCCTTGTTTGTGTGGTGCCGCCGCCGCCGGTGCAGCCGCCGCCGCCGCCGCTGCCCCCGTCTGTACCGCAGTGTCTGCTCCGCCCGCCCGCCCCGGCCCGGCCCGGCCCCTCCCCCACCCCCGCCCCCGGTCCCGTCGTCGGGGTCCGGAGCCCACTCCGCCGTCGCCTCTTCCTTTTCGACGCCTCTGCCGCCGCCTGAGGAGGCGAGCCAGCCGGGAGTTACACCGCCACCGCCAGGTGAGGAGCTCGGCCTAGGCCGGCCTGGCCGCTCGCCCGCCCGGGGGCGGTGAGGAGCGAGGAAGGGAGGGAAGCCGGGGCGGCGACGGC